GTAAAAATATGTTTTCAAGTTTTTTTTTTTCAATTACAAAAACATACTTAATGAAATTTAAGACAAATCAAAATGTCTTAAAGGACCGGAGGGACTATATTAGTTTAACATTATACTCCCTATGGTCCTTATTATTAGACATTTTGATTTGTCCTAAATTTTACCTGTTATGTTCTTTTAATTGAAAAATAAAATCTTAAAATATATTTTCACATCTATTATGTTCTCTTATTTATCGTAAAATCTTACTATATACTCCCGATGCTTCTACTTTTTTCCTACAATGCTCCCTATGCTATATTTTTGAATTTTATTTGCTATGTATTCCTTGTGTGTCACAAAGGTATTTATGAAGCATTTATGTTTCTCACGTATTCTGGAAAAAAAGCAAAAAGAAGCGTATATGCTTTTGTATATATTTTCATTTTTCTTGAAACTTAAAAATATATATGTGCTTGTTTTAGTGTAGAGGAAAGCTGAAGATTTGACTTCCAAATTATTAGAGCCAGCTCGAGACGGGCATGTTCGTATCCATGCCTCAGTTACAACTCAATAATTTTCCTGCTTCCTTTTAGTCCTTGTTCTTTTCTTTTTTTTTTTTTGTTATTAATATTCAGTTTCTGTTCGTTGTTTTTCTTGGTGTTAGGATTTCAGTTCATTTAAGAATGTGAGATCTAAACAATTCACTGGATCAGAGAAGAGATGATCAACCTAAAGGGTGTTCTTTTAACGGGATGGTGACAACAAAAGGAGAGGATCGGTGTCATTCCATTTCATCCGCCGTTGTTATCGAGTACTGTTCTGAGCGAGAAGCTAGTAATGATCGAGGGCTAATTGAGAATATGGAAATGCAAATAATTTACCTCATTTGACTCCCAATATTTCCTTGGTAGCCGTTAACATCTACATTTCTGCACATTTTTTGTAAATTTTTTGCCCAGGTAACATTTAACTTTAAATTTAGCTGTTTTGCAACCATGTATTTCTTATGAGGTTTTGAGGATTGCCTTCGTCAACAAAAAAATGGACTAAAGGTGGCTGTCAAATAATGTGAATAAGGTGGCTGCTCAAGCTAAATCCTGGCCTCTGCAGTAGCATTGAAAATATTTATTGCCCAACTAAATTCGATTACTCTTATTTTTCAGTTTATCTACTTTCAGTTGAGGTCCCTTTTCTTTTCTTTCTGTTTTTCTGCTTTCATTACTTTCTCGATATATTTTTTGGGATGATGTTAATGTTTCTGTTTTCATAAATTTTCTTTATATGTTTTCATTACTTTCTGGGCGTAGAGAGCTAGATGATTCCCTCAACTTAAAATACCATGACCCCACTGTCGGCGACGTTTCTCCGAATATTATTCATTTGCTGGTGACTTTTCATTCACATAATATTCCGCTTTTCTTTACAGTCAATATCAATCCGACCTGAATTCATGAACATTGCCCGGTGACATTGCCCCACAATTCAGAAATTAAAGGTCACTTTGGCTGACACGAAAACAATAGGGGATGACTATGAGCTCCCACGTACAAAACCATTACAGTTTTTTAAATTACCAAAGACTCAGAACCTTTTAAGTGAGATAAAGGGGAGTGAAATATTATTAAAGATAAAAATAAAGATGGAATGAGACCCAGCAGTTCTTTTTCTTTTTTTGCTATTTTTGGTTCGATGGGTTATTATAAATACTAAAATAGTAACTAAAACTATTGCAGATTTTTAACCTACCAAAAACATGGAATCTTTAAGCATTGCGATACAGAGTGACATGATGTTAAAAATACAAATGAAGATGGAATGATACATGTGGATTTTTTTTCCAACGGGTTGTCAAATATACTAAACTATTAATTGATCGATAAGTATCATCTTTGAACAAATAGTTCTTGCTTATTCTTCAATCTTTCCTTTTCTTTTGGGTTCAACGGTGTGCCAAAACTACTAAAATAGTAGTCAAAATCATTCCAGATATTGAACTTATCAAAAACTAAGAACATTTTAAGCAGTACGATACAGAGTGACATGCTGTTAAAGATGAAAATATAGATCGAATGAAACCTTCTATTTTTTTTTTGATTTTAACAGATTGCCTAAAATACTTAAATAGAAAATTTTTATTTTTAGATCCATTTTAAATGATTATTATTCAAATTGTTCTTTTTTTATTGTGTGTTATTATGCCTTATGAATTAAATTGGATTGCATTTTCTAATGCATTTTTTCCCATGTGTTATTATTGGCAACACGTCCATCAACGAAAACCATTGCATAGGTATTACTTTATTAGTAAATAAACAATACATTTACTAAATCATCGTTCATACAAATATCTAAATTTTTTCTATATAATTAACATCGATGAAATATTTCGAATGTTAAGCTCGATTTCTCACCATGCACCGCATTTTGTCCAACTTGGAAGTCAAAGATTTCTTCAATGAAAGGGCTATCTTGGCACCTACAAACGATGAGGTTGATGCTATTAATGATCACATGTTGTCACTCCTAGCTGGAGAGGCAACAGTGTATTATAGTTCTGATATGAATATTGAGGTGAGATGATTGAATTACCTCAAATGCAGAAACTTTTCTTTCCCAAGACTTGATAATTTGCCAAACCAATGAAAAAGACTCCAAAAACATGAAAGAAGAATAAGGAACGATACAAACCACAAAAATTTGCACCAAAAAGGATGGATAGGTAAGAAGATGATAGAATGTGTTTTTGGCTAGCAACCCGATTAGAATACATCTCTAACAACCCCACCCCTTCGATTTACAGGCAGAACGACTAGCTAAAAGGCTCCAATGAATGGCTAACAAAGCTTCACAAGTGAAGAACACTTAAAATCACGCGCATGCTTGCAACAAAGCAGAAAATAATTCGTGCAATGCATTATTCTTCACAAAGAATAGAAGAACAAAGAGTTTTGCTCTCTTTTTGTATTGAACAATCAATAATAATCAAAGACATATCATATTATCTCAATGCCACAACCAAAGGCCCTATTTATAGGTCAAGGAAAGGTCTAGGTCAGCCATAGAGGAAGAGAAATCCAATTACAACTCTTATTCGGATTTCTTGGACTTGAAGTTTCCTAAAACTTAAAAATTAATAAATAATTAAATAATTACACATGTGATAATTATTTAATATTAAAATTATCCTAAAACTAAGGGTAAAAACGTGTGAGGGCCGAAATTAAAGTGGAGAATTTGAAACCCAACACAAATAGGAAACAAAACCTAGTCTAAAAAGGAAAACATAATAAAATATAATTTCTCTTGAATAAAAATTCCAATTCTCCTCCACCCCCTTGGAAAACCTTCTTAGAATCTGATTTGACATGTGGAAGGACAAAAATCTTGTAAAACTTCAAGAAAAATTGTAACAAACCCGTTATTTGTCTTTCGTCGGCTTCGGCGTCGGCCGACAGAAAACTTGGCGCGCGACTGTCGACTATCCCGTTGACTTCCTTTACTCGAAAATGACCTCAACAGCTTCTTGTCGACTTCTTTGTTGATTTCTTCTTCTCGGCTAAAACATCGACGCACACCTTGTCGGCTTTCTTGTCTACCTCAGTTACTTGGCCATCATGTCGACGTGAACTTGTAAACTTTATTGTCGACTTGATTCTAACTTGACGTGCAACATATTTCGGCTTCAATCTTCCATCATCCTTAATATCAACCTCAATATGATACCATACACCCCCTATGTGATCACAATCAATGTAATGATCATCATAGTTAGGTATGATACTCAACGGGTCATCCAAGATCGCATCAAGTTCGGATTGCATAGACTTGACCGCAAGGTCAGTAAACCCAAATGATGATGCAGTATATACGATAGAATTCCCCAACTCCATGAAATGTTCGGGAATGACAAACCACAAAATAACCTTAAAAGTCGGAGTCCCAATAATGCTTCTTCGAAACCTTGATCAACCAGGAGGATTATGTAATGGTACAAGGCTCCAAGTCAATGATTTGGGACAATGGGTTATTCGGGCGACAATCATATCAGGTGCTAATACTGGTAAAAAATGTTTCATTCCCCGTATGGATATTAGTCCCACTGATGAGAGGATGCCAATTAAACTGAAGAGGATGCAATTTTCAATTTTTGCATGCTTTGCTATGACGAAAAACAAGAGTCAGGGACAATCATTTTTTATGTCAAAAACTTAGATGATGAAGAATCCTTGAACAAAGTCTGCAAGAAGAAGAGAAAGGTGAAGAAGCTTGTCAAAGCGTTGGATGAGGGAGCAAAGATGAAGAAAAGCAAGCAGGATCATCCCGTCGAGAAAGAAAGCTTGATCGAGAAGAAGGTGGTCCAATAGGAGACCATTCCCCCAGCTGATGAGACGACTAAAGGGAATCCTGAAAATCCAACCCACGAGACCCATCTAGTGACAGAGTTGGACCCAGGGGGGTTTTCTGGGCCAAAGCCCCCTTGGAGAGAAAGAAGAATGCCCAGGATGACACTGATGTTTCCCCAGGGTTATCGAGTTTGTAGCTGCTATATACCACTTTGAGGATGCGAGAATCGAGTGCCCCATACTTGAAGAAACTGCTGCGACAATGACTGGGGAGGATACTCTAAAGATGGTACGCATTGTTTGCTCTTTGTTTTGTGATAGCCCATGATGTTTATATAACTTATAGGGACATCCTGCTTATGACTATGACAGATGAGTACCTTGATGATGAGCTTCTTTATGCGCTAGAAGAGGTTGAAAGAGGAAATTGCCAGGTCGGAGCTCGCGAGAGGGATTTTCGAGCAAGAAAAGATGATCCAGGAGGAGTCGTGGAAGAAGAAGCAGCTGGAGCATGCTGCTAAGGAGAAAGAGCTGGCCACCGTACAAGCAAAGTATAGTGAGCTCAAAGCCAAGATGAGGGAATACGAGGAGTCCCCTATCTCGAGGGTAGACTTACAAAAATGGCTCATCGCTTTCTAGTCGAGGATGCTGCCTACTGGTGGGATGGCCAATGTAATGCTTGGTATTAGCGAGGTGGCCAAGCAGTTGGGCGGCCATGGTATAGCCGTTCTTGCCCTCGAGAGGATGGAGTCAGGGAGGACCATTGACGCTGGCTGGTTGCAGCAGTTTATAAGGAAAGATCCACGCCATGCCTTGCATGAGGAAATGAAGAATGGATTGATGCATCTCTCGACGGAGCAACTCCCCCTATTCAATGCCCTGTGCAATGCTGTCTTGCAGATGGGTTCTCGTGATGAGATTGCTTCTTTTCCTGGTGATGCCCCCACAGTCTTACTGGGCAAACCTGGTGAAGAGATGCGAGTGCTGGACCCCCCCAAATTCATTGGGGTCGAGTTGGTCTCTGATGATGATTCCTCAGAGGAAGCTGACGATGGTGGCGACAAGGGGAAGGAGCCGGAGGTCGAGAAGGAAACTGGATCGACCCAAACTCCAGTCGAGGAAACCAATGAGAATCAACCGATCAATCCTCCAAACCAAGATGTTGTATGACATTCTCTTTTGTAATAGGATTTCTATTGGGGTTGTAGATCCCGCCTTTTGCAGCGCTGCGTATTAGAGCAACTTTGAACAAGTCCTTAACAGTATTTTGTTTGCCTAATTTGACTCTTTGGCCTTTTAAAGTTCTTGACTTATTTTCATTGCTCATGCCCTCATACTTTGTTCATCAGGTACACCTGATGATCCTTGATGAAAACCAAGCCAAGAACTTTCCCATGTATGCTATGGTTTCATCAGCAATGAGGAAATTGGAAAGCATCCACAACATCTCTGCAGTAAGGACTCTCGAGAAGGAGATCCTGGATGCCGTCCGGGCGTACAATGTACATATACACTCTCGCCTAGTACAACGCTTTAAACAAAAGGAGGAGGATTATCAATGATGCCTCCATCAGTATGATCTCGATTATCAGGACTCCCTGATTCTGGAAACAAATGTAAATGAAGAGGTGACTCGATTAAAGAAAGAAAATGCTCAATTGAAACGCCATGAGAGAATTGGGGTATCCCTCTGTTTCCTCAAGAAGTTCGATATTCTTTCACTTGTCGCGAAGCAGATACAGGTTAGGACAGAGCGCTCTATTGCCAAGATAAAGCTGCTGAAGAAAAGAACCAAAGAAGCCGAGTTTTTCTCGAAGCAGTCTGCCATTTTGCAGAACATATTGGTGAATCGTGAGATTCCACTTCCTATCCTCGAGGACCTGGATGAAGGTGTTGAAGCTAAAGAGAGGACGGCCCTCGAGGAGTACCTGCTGTAGCTGAATGAGCAAGAGTGGGAAATTGTCGATTTAAAGGACAAATTAAGTCAGTGCATCAACCAACTTAGGGTGCTAGGTTTCTCCGGCATTATTAAGCCATCTCGATTTAATCCCCAAGGGGAAAAATTTTAACATTTAGGGACAAATAAATGTATTTATCCAACCCCGCACGTGGTGTGAGGGCAATAGATTTCATTTGAGCCTTGTCGGCATCGTTTGTTATTTCATACTTGAGTATAATGTATATAGCGCTTAATTGCCGGACGTGAAGTACACGGCTCTCTCGAAGGAACCGAATACGGGTTCCTCGATATTTAAGTACCGCGATCTGCAGCAAGTACGAGGAGGATTCCTCTTTTTTTTGTGTCTGGATGTTGAATACATGGCTCAATTCGAGGATGGCCCTAAAGAGGGTGTCCATCTCGTTAGACTAGTCATGAAATAGTGTCGACACATTCAAAATATGAAAAATATGCAATGACTTTTTTTGAATAATTACCCGAGGACTCGGGTTAGCATTACATATATAAAGGGGTAAAAGAAATAAATCACATAGAGCAAATAATTTTAGCAAGTAGCAAGGAAAAACTTAGACATAGAACCTGCGTAGGTTCTAAATGTTCCACCATCGAGGGAGGATGGTTCATGTGTCATCTGTCTGCAGGCTATAACTGCCAGAAGAGGAAGCCTGAATGACTCGATAAGGTCCTTCCCAATTTGCTGATAACTTGTTAGGAGTCTCTGCTCGACTGGCTTCATTATTCCTAAGTACCAAGCCTCCGACTAAAGGGTCAGTGCTTTTGACCCGCTTATTATAGTGCTTCATCAGGATCTCTTTGTACTTGGCTTCCCGGACTTTTACGGATTCTCGCCGCTCCTTGAGCAGGTCAAGGTTAGTTAGGATGTCTTCATTGTTGGCGTCTTCGACAAAGTTGATTCCGTAGGAGGTACAACGTCCATTCCGTAGACCAGACTGTAGGGAGTTTTGTTTGTCAAGGAATGAACTGTGGTACGGTAAGCCCATAGGACATGCCGACCCATGCCCCTTTGGCGTTTTGCAGCCTTGTCTTAATTCCATGCAAGATGGTTCTGTTGATGGATTCAGCCTGGCCGTTAGCCTATGGATGAGCGACCACAGAGAATCGACGCTCGATTTGCATTTCAGCACACCAGGACTTGAAAGGATCACTCTCAAATTGAGTTCCGTTGTCTGACACAATGAACTTGGGCACTCCAAAATAGCAAACGACGTTTTGCCAAAAAAAATTCAATACTTTCCGCCTAGATATTGAGGCCAACGGTTTCGCTTCTACACACTTAGTAAAATAATCCACTACTACGACGGATTTCCAGCCCCTTTTAGAAAAGGGCTGATGATGTCAGTGCCCCATTGGTAGAAGGGCCAAGGGCTTTGAATAGTTACCATCTCGTTGCGGCTGTCGAGTGATAGGAGAGAATCGCTGACATCTATCGCACTTTTGCACAAACCGATAGGCGTCCTTGAAGACTGTAGGCCAAAAGTAACTTGCTCGAAGTACCTTTTTAGCCAGACTGCTTGCTCCCATGTGAGCGCCACACGATTCTTCATGAATTTCTTCGAGGACGTAAGCCGCCTGATTCAAACCAATGCAACGCAGCATGGGTAATAGGTATCCGTACTTGTAGAGGATTTCGTCTTTCAAGGTATACTTAACTGCTTTTAACTTTAATGCTCAAGCCGCGGACTTATCGCTAGGTAGGGTTCCGTTCTCAAGGAATTGGATAAACGGCGTCATCCAAGTATCTCTCTCTTCAACAATTGCAAGTGACACCTGGGACTGAATACTAGGTTCAGGGAGAATCTCGACCCAAACCTTATGACTGAGATGTGCGAAATTGGATGAGACAAGCTTGCTTAAGGCGTCGGCCCTTTTGTTGCTGGTTCTGAGAATATGGGATATGGAACAATTATCGAACTTATCCCTAATTTCGAGGACTTTCTCGAGGTATGGTCGTAAATGTTCCTCACGGAAAGTATAGTCGCCATTGATTTTCTTAACAACCACTTGAGAATCACTGAAGACTTCCAAGTTTCGGACTCCCAATCTCAAAGCCATATTCAACCCTGTGATAATTGCCTCATATTCGGCTATATTGTTGGTGACCGGGAAACCAAACCCCAAGGCGTAAGAATACTCCGCCTCATATTCTTTCACTTCCTCAATCTCCTGCGGTGCGGTTGCTTTGGCCAAGATGATGCTGGCTCCTCCCCCTTCTTCACAAGATGAGCCATCGACATAAAGAGTCCAAGCTCGAGGATCCAGGGGAGTATGCTTTGGACCTTGTTTCTTTGAAGGTTGCTCAGGTATAGTACTTAGTGTACGGGGCATTTCGACAAGAAAATCTACAAATGCCTGGCCCTTTATAGTTGTCCGAGATTTATACTCAATATGGTGTTCTCCCAGCTCAACTGCCCACTTCATCATTCTGCTAGAGGCCTCAGGCTTGAAGAGGACCTATTGAATCGGTTGCTCTGTTAGGACTTGGATCAGGTGAGATAGGAAATATGGGCGTAGCCATCAAGCAGCTAACACGAGGGTCAGTATCAGCTTTTCCATAGGGGTATACCGAGACTCTGCCCCTTGTAAGACTTTGCTTACGAAATATACTGGGATCTGTTTCCCATCTTTCTTTTGGATTAGGACTGCAGATATGGTAGATTCTCCAGCGGCTAGGTAAATGTATCACAGCCGTTTCTCGTTTCTCAGGCCAGCCGGCCTTTCCTACATTTTTGTGTGGTTTGCGGGTTAGCCGGGCCATTTCCTTAGACGGGCCAAGGGACGGGTCGAGCTAGGACTTGCACGAATTCTCCGATCAAACCTAGATAGAATCGGAACTCTCTAGAAGGAGCCGAACATTGTTGGAAATGTAGGGAAGCTACCCGAGTTTTGCTGGAATGGATTAGAACGGGCTGGAGCTTTCTAGAGACTTATGGAATTCTATAGAATTGGGTACTTAGAATATTTTATTCATAGAATTCTCTAGAAGCTTGTTATTTTATTCTTTGTATAGAATTCTCTAGAATTCTCTTGGACTTGGGGACTTAGCCTATAAATACCCCAAGGCTCCCTCATTTGTAAACAAAGTCTTGAGGAGTGAATTCTCAAGCATAATTCAAGCTCTCCGTTCTTACTTTGTGCCTTCATCGCTCTTTCAATACTAAGCTTTCATTTGTTTACGTTCTTAAGTTCTCTTCATAGCTTTGCACGTTTAAGGGGTCAAGGCTGAGCTAGCACGTTCATCGTTGGTGGTTTTAGTGCTAGTGCCGCACGGCCGTTACTTTGAAAAAGTAAGCCTGTGACAGTTGGTATCAGAGTTTCAGCTCGATACTTGGTTGTACTACATCGTCTACGCTTCCATTTGTTGCTAAGTTCGTGCATAAGCTATGTCTAACACTTTGGAGGTTATTCAAGGGGTCGGAGCTTGAGGGGGGTCACATTTACCGCGAGGTGGAGAGGGCCCCTCGCAAGGGAAACCGCAAAGAGAAGTCGGTCGTTAGGGAGCCCATGGTGGAATTCGAGAAACGGCTTGCCAAGCTAGAGCTTATTGTGGCCGACCACCAAGACCATTGGGACGAGCACCCCGAGGGGGTAGCAGGGGTTGTCGAAGCTTGCATGGAGCGATTCACGGGTGAATTGCAAGAGGTCATGCAGCAAATGAAGGACGACATGCTAGGAACGCTCAACGAGGTGGTGGAATGTTGCAACAAGACGAAGGACGAAAACCTTGCTCGTGTTGCCACTCTCCAAGATGATGTTAGCCGACTCATAGATGAGTTGGAGGCTTCTTGGGCAGAATTGGCGTGCCTTAAAGCATGGCTTGATGCCATGGCCGTGCAAGGGACAACCGGGGCCGTGGGGACAGTTCCAAGCCTTGAAGCGCCCAAGCCGGACGAGTACAAGGGCAGTTGTCGTTTGAGGGACGTAGAGAACTTTCTCAACAGCATGGAATGGTATTTTGGGGCTATGAACATCATAGAAGACTCGGTAAGAGTTTTCATAGCCTCTCTTTATCTTAAAGATAGTGCTTTGAGTTGGTGGAAACGTATGATGAAACCCGTGCGGGACGGAGACCCGGTCTTCACCACGTGGGACAGTTTTAAGGAAGAGTTTAGAAAATATTTCCTACCCGTGGATGCGGAGGACGAAGCCCGGGCCAAGCTTCGTCGTTTGCACCATAGGGAAGGCCAAATCCGAGAATACGTGAAGGAATTTTCGGACTTGATGCTTGAAATCCTAGACCTCTTGCCCAAGGAGGCATTCTTCACTTTCATGGATGGTCTCAACCGTTGGGCTAAGCTTAAGCTACAATGGAGGGAAGTTCAAGACATAGATCGGACGTTAAAGGTGGCCGAGTTGCTTGTAGAGTTTCAAAAGAAGGATAGCTCTAAGGACAAGGGCAAGAAGCCATTCCAAGGTAAAGGTGGGGGAGACAAGGGGAAGTCCTCCACACCCGCTAAATCGGCAGCCGACTCTACAAAGCTGTCTTTGAGCAAGGAGACTAAGGGGGACAAGCGAAGAAGTTCTAAGGGCGCTTCTTGTGGGGGGGGAGCACACATGGCATGTGATTGCCCATCTCGTTCGAAGTTGGTAGCATTAGCACAAGGGTCGTGTCAAGAAGAGGAGAAACAGGGCGCTTGCATGAAATGGCTAGACGCCGTGTATGCTAAGGCTGAGACTCGTCAAGGCTATCTTTACATGGAGGTATCATTTGCAAACGAGTCTAGATGGGGCATGCTAGACACGTGGGCCGACACGAGTTATCTCATAGAGGAGGTAGCCCGTTCGCTTGGAGTCACATGGACACCTAGCAAAGGCCGTTTCAAGGACGTGAACGGCGAATGGACGGGTCTTGTGGGCTAAGCCAGGGACGTGCCTCTTAAAATTAGCAACTGGTCAGGTACGGCTAATTTCTCCATTGCACCTATGGATGATTACGGTCTTGTGTTTGGCATAGAGTTT